AGGGACCAAGTCAGGATAGGCGGCCACATGCAACACATGCGCTAGCGCGTGGCCGCCACGAATGGGCGGCGGGATCTTTGGGGGCCCTGGACTGCGGAACAAGGAGGGTAGGGCGCGCCACCCCGCCAAGCCGACGCCACTATGGTGCATGGCTGATGGCGCATCGCCGTGCATCACCGGCGGGCCCACGAGTGTGGCCCCGGCGCGCGCCGATCCCCCGCACGGCTTGAACGGCAGTTGGGAGCTGCAGGACGGGGAAAAGCTCCGGCGCCCGCGCTGGAAAGTTGTCCTTCGGGGGGGCGGCGCCGACTTTGGTTGCTTGTGCATGTTTTTCCGGGTGGTGTTGGCGGACGTCCCTGTATGTCGGCGGGTTCGGTGGCGTCGGCCACGCCAACCGCGGGAGCCCTGCTGCCACCCGATGCGGCCAGGCTCCGATCGCGCCACATTGCGTTTCAGGCGGGCAACTTTGACTTCAGACGGCGCTGGCTTGGGGCGCGACATGCATGCAGGCGAGTTGACAATTCCGCGCGCGACGCGCCTGGGTGCTAGTGCCCGCGTGCGATCAGGTGGGCCCCACAAATGTGTCTTCAAACGAGTCGCGCCGCCCCACCTTCGGGCGGGGCGGCGTTGATGAAGCTGACCCGGCAGCCTGCGGGGTCGCCGCCATCCCGCACGTGTCGCCGCCGCCGGAGCGAGCGGGGTGCTCCAGAGCGCTCCGCAGGGGCGCTGGGCGCCATGCCGAGGCCAGCCCCGCGAGGGTTCGCGGCGCTGGCCCCCGGGATGATCGCAGTGATCGGACGGCGTTTGAGGGTGATGAGTGCTGCGGGGCGTTACTAAGCGTGGTAGTTGTTGTCCATGGAGGCTGATTCACCGCTCGTTGGCACCGCATCACATCTTTAGAGCATCTTCATCGGTCGGTGCTACCAATCGGTCAGTGACAATTTGGCAAAAGGCGTTCTGGCAAAAGAATCGTAGCCGTATCGATGGGGGCAAGAGTGCGACCACCGCCGTTTGTCACAGCCCCGTGACGGGCACAGGCGCTTCTGGCAGCCGACACCGAAGCAAACTGCGAACCTGTCGCTGGGCCAAGGCGGCGCTGAGGGGGCGCCCTGGTGGCTGCGGAAGCGTTAGGGGACTGGTGGGGTTGTAGACACTGGACCGTGGGCGGATTCCAGCTGTCATCCTTGCAGTGCAGAAGGCACCCAGCTGCCAGGCACTACGCCCATCAACTTGGCCACGGCCATACCTTGGTTGGCCATCGCTCGAGGGATGGGCACACCACGCAAAAGGCGGGACAAGAGTCAAAAGGTCGGCAACTCGTGGAGCTCACAGCACGCGCCTTTCAGGGCGCATACGTTGGCAAGGATCGCGGGCCCAGGCCCGCCAAAATCTGGCGCGTTTTGGCACAAGCATTCGCAGCCAACTCATAGCCAAGTGGAGCATTGTCGCCAAGTGATGGAATGACCAGCGAAGGTAGCCAGGCGCAGGTTGTGAGCCCCCAGGTTGTTAAACACCATCACCGCCCTTGCCAAGGGCGAGGTGGGCATTGTGTTGTGGGTGCTGGATACGGCGGAGGACTGATCATTGTGCGTAACTTTCATCATGTAATCTGGGGCTCCCAGGGAGCCGTAAAAACGTAAAAACGTAAAAATAGCTGTAAAATTAGGCTCTTTCGCAAATTTACGTTTTTACGCATAAAAACGTAAAAGTAAAAACGTAAACGTAAACGTAAAAACCAAGCCTGCCCAAGAGCAACGGATGCCATTCCGCTCGGTCACGCTGGTCGGCCTTTCAGATCTCAATTCAAGGCGCCGCGAAATGGCTGCTACGCCGCGTCCCTCGAGGAGGAGCACGGTTCCCTGCACTGCGTGCCGCTGCCGCCTCGCTCGCGCCCAGGCAGGCAGGGCTCCAGGCCGCCGGCCCAATCCGCACCGTATTGCTGCAGTCAACCGTATCCCGAATTGGGGTGGCGGCACTTTTCGTCAGTTCTGATTCTTTTGCCAGAATGTCTTTTGCCAAATTGTCACTGACCCCTATTGCACCGGTGGTGCTATACAGGAAGGGTTTTCACAGGCTGCCCTGCCACCTTATTAAGGCGGTATTTGCCGAATAGCTCCAGTGCTGTTGCTCCCCAACCGTTGATGATGGTTTTTAACGTGCGGCGATATTCGGATAGCCGAATAGCACTGTCGAGATAGTAGCACCCACCGATAAAGAAGCTTTTAGGAGCAACGGACGGATGGCAGGCGTCCCATAATTTGCCGGAATCGGTTTGGATCCGCGTCACTCAAGATTGAAACACCGAGGAAAACACCGCAATTGCCCTTTATTATTATCCAACACCCATCACTGCCCATCCTTTCCTTGGGGTCCAAACCGAGTCAGCATCCACGACCCAGTGTTGGTATCCACCCTGCAGTAGTGACTGGTGTCGTGTTCGTGATCAGTGCTTGATGGCACGCCACACTGTTCTTGGTACATTTTGATCTGCGGGAGAGCGGCTGCCCGGTCGTCAGGCCACTACAGGCTGTTCGGAAGTGCTTGAAAAGGAAGGAACATTACTGTTGTGCGAATCAAATGTGAACCGGCATTGAACAAGAATGGGGAGAGCATCTGCGGGATGGAGCCAGGGGGGGTGGGCAGCCGCGGGCTTCGTAGGCCAGCGCCTCATTTTCCTTGGGCTAGGAGTTGACAAGCGAGCAGCCGCAGCTGTCCTTGGAGAAGATCGTTTGCACCTGTCCAGGAATGTCGAAACAAAGATACTGGTAAACATGCATATTTCCCGCGAAAAGCAAAGCTTTAAAACACGGCTGACAACACTGCAATTTGCACCAAATTAAGACCATCAGTGGATGCAAATGGAAAAAAAATGTCAGTTAAAGCCAAACTGGATGGTAAATTTCATCCACATCGCCTAAATCAGCTAAAAGTATCTCCAAATCCAAGCTCACATACAATGTGCCTCTGATCTTGTGTTGGATCCACATAGGTGAACAGGCTCCATTAAGTGACATAAACCAGTACGGAAAATATAATTAACCTAATTAAGCTTCAAGTTGTTTTAATGAATAATAATTCAACAAATTTTGACTGGCAATTTTGCTCATTTATGCAAACGTGGGTATGGCAATGACTGATCCATCATTGACAGGTTGTCGTATGGCTAAGGGACATGCCTATCCCCGACCTATCTGTAACTCTATTTCTTCAGCTGTGTCTCCAAGCCTGTGGCCGTGCCTGCCTCCGACATAGTCCCACACCAAACCTAGCATATCAACTTCCTCAATGCATTTAGGTCATTTAGCCATTCAACGGCGTTTAGGTCATTTGAATTGAATCCGACTTTCAATACACGCATTTCAATGTTTCTTTAAAAATGCACATAGTGTAAAGTATCTATAAATGCAAATGATAATACATAACAACTATAATTTGCATAATTTTTGACGCCCAGTTTGCCACGGTTGCCAGGCAGGGACTTGCGATCCGCGATGCAGACAACAGTGAAAAAAACAGCGCGCAGTTCGAGGCAGAGTTTCCAGAGCTTGGTGAACGACATTGAGGACCATTGGTTGCATCGAAGAAACTCCAAACTTGGATACTTTAACTATTGTACCAAGCGATACCTGGGATAGGTAGTTTTGGTCTGGATATTCCTGTACTCTTGTACCGCCCTACTGTGTTGCGCATGGTGAATTACAGTTCGAAAATAAAGCGTTCTGGTGAGCTTCATGTGCATTGATGCCTGCCAGCAAAAAAAACTTGCAAATTTTGTCGCCGTACAGGGAAAAAGCAAGCATACTGCGCTATATGACTGTAAAGTATTGGGATGCGAGCAAATCAGGGCAGAAATTTCCGCTCCACACATGCATATGCGCACCTGCGTGGTTAACCAACGTTGGTGTCAGCCAGAGACGTTTCTCCCACAATCCGCCGGCCGTCATTATGCGAAGTATCTCAAAAATTCGGGTGGCGTGTACGTTGCAACCCAAGTCCACGGATATAGTTCACGGGGTGCTTTCGATAGTCTGCGTGCTCATCACAGTAACGGTTGTATAAGCTTCAACCTTGCCTTGTGGTGGGTTCTTCAAGAAGTAGTAACGTCGGTGCAGAATTCAGTGTCACCGCTGGCGGGTTTGGGAGCGGCAGAAAAACGTTGAGAGTCGCGCCTTGGAGTTGTTTTGGTTCAAATTCAATGCACAAATATGCCGTGAGGTGTACTGAGTGCGTTAGAAGTTCCCGCTGACGAAGGCAGGCAGGATCGAGGGGTGGCGATCCCTGAACGTGAATTGTATTCTCGAGTCCACGGCAACGGTTTACAGCCGAGGCAAAAGGACAAGCGTTCTGCCCTTTATACTCCATCCGTTCATCAACATCCTTAATGCAATTCCTAATGCCTCATCATCTTTTCGTGCACTCAGTTAATAATAATACTCAATCAGTTCTAGCCGTAACACCGCTCACAGAAATGGGTACTAACAGATGCAACAGCGAATTGGATTGGGTACGCAGTTGCACGCGAATTGAAGAAATTGTTTTTCCTCATTGCTCAAAAATGAATGGGCGTGAAGAGGCAACTGCATCAGCTACATATCCATAGATTTTCGTTGCAGTTGGCACAGGTCACTTTTAAAATCACGCAATTTCTTGTCACATGCGATGGCAGCAACGTCCAATCAGTACGTTCCGTTGATTAAATTTGTCATAATATCCAAGACAACAAGGCCTCGACAATTCAATCGTTGGCATTTTAACATCCAAAATCACCATTCCTCAAATAGCACGATCAATGCCCAGATTCTGTCACTTGAAGATGCACCTCTGCTTTAGAGCTTCTGTGGCCAGTGCATCGGCCGTCGAAGCCCGCTATGTGATGAAAATTTCCCTATCAATCAGAGGCCCTGTTTCCAAAAATCAAATGCTAGCTTCCGTTTCTTGCGGCTGCAACTACTGTGCAGCTTCCTGTTCCAGCGGCCACCCAACATGGGAATTCCAGTTCTTCAAGCCAAGTTGTTGACCTGCGCACACAATAGCAGCAAATACATCAGCAATTTGCAGCCCAGCAAAGGAAGCAGAACAACAAAAGGAAAACTTCCGCTGCAAACACCAGACATTGTGATGGGCCCCAACTAATATTCAAACTAAACACTTCTGCAAACAATGAGAGCCACACTAAACAACATACGCGCGTGTTTCTCTTCGCAGGTCTTTGAATATCAGTCGCCGTTTGGAGCTAGACGTTAAGGGCAAACCAGGGGTCACACCAGAAACGACGGGCTTCGCTTTAGTCAACCACCTTCGAATGTTGATTCTGAAATTTGACCTGCCATGCGGCACATTTGAGCTCTCGAACCTTTTGCGTGTGTTGAATTTCAATTGCTGTGGGTGTGCCCAAGTCCACCAACGTGCAACGGCTGCTTAGCAACGGTCCCTTGCGGGATAGCGAACGCCACTTACCCTGAAGATCCATACCCCTTCCTCTCGGTCATAGCTCACGAAATCGGCGCCAACCTTCCTGCAGTACTTCACAAGTCTGCGCTCAAATGCCGCCTTGGCGCAGTCGTCGTCCGCCACGGCTCCCTTCTTGTCTCTCTTGAAGATGTCGAGCAGCCTCACCTCGGCAGGCTGATTGAGCCCTTCGCCAACCGCTGGGACATCAGGCTTCTGCCAGGTCTCGTACAGCGATACCATCCCTGCGATGTCAACATTCGAGGAGGATACAGGAACAACGACAAGAGACTGAACGAAAGAGATCTGGGTAAGTGAATGCAGCTGTAGGGCGTGGGTTACAGCAGACCACAGGTCGCTGTTGTCTGCACGGACCTGCTCAGGTCCATGCAGTTGTAGCAGCCGGGATCCCACGGAACCAGATGGATGGCATTCAGTCAGTGCTGTTGTCTATGTTGAAATGGCAGTCTCTTCAGTAGTCAGTGTATCTCAACCCCCCCCTAACTGACTTCAAGTACCACAATAGAGCAATAGTACACAACAGCAGGGTAACGCAATGGTGTCAACGTTGAAAGATTGGCATGGATCCCGCTCACCTCTGGAGATCGTGACAGTATCGCAGACGTCAATGCCCTCGATGTCGACGGGCTCCAGAAACTTCACTTCCCCATAACCACTGCGCCCCACTGTGAGGCCGTGAACCCGCTTTAGGGCGCACCCGTCGCCGCGCAGCATGTTGGCGAGGCCCCGTGCATCAGGCCTGGTGTAGTATTCCGAATCTCGAATTCGGGGCAGCAGCTTGGTAATCTCGCCTTCAGAAAGTTGGCCAGTTGAGGGGCCGCCGACGATTGTCAGGCGCACCGGCTGTCCCGCGCTTTCCTCGCCACACCTGTCGTGCACGAACATTCTTGTCACAAGTTGTGTAACGAACGGGACAAAGAAGTCTGCTATTGTGGCGCTGGATTTGCAACTGTGTGAATTGCAATCACTCTGCGTCAGAAAAACACACTGCAGCACATGTTGCTGTGCAATAGCCCAATGCCGAAAACTCTGGCCGACCAAACCAAGTAGCGTCCCAGCAGAAGCTACCAACACTGCTGACTCGTCTGGTCCCCGCTCCATGTTCCTGGGAGGCTTGTGGTGCCCCCAAAGCTGCACGCTTATTGTTGCCAGGAGCACAACACCATGCAATGGCAGTGGCATCACAGATGTTTCAGTCAACTGCACAACACCCCCTGCAACCCCAGCGTGTCATGAAATTTGCTATTTACGTACCGATCGTGCTCCTTGCTGCTGGCCATTCTCATAGTCACTTCCCTGTTCTTCCAGTCAATCAACAGGGAAGGCGATGCATCGGTCCTCTCAAGGCAGGCCCTCATGTCCCAAAAGTCAAAGCTGTCTTTCACCTCCTGCGGCTTGAAAAGGGGATCGTCGGCTGGTCTTGATGTGGAAGACATCCCGCACCACAGCTGATCACTGAACAGTGATTCTGTGTCCGTATACAGCTTGGAGGGCAACTTGGATGGCCGCCTGGAAGCCATTCGGCGAGGGCTGACAGGAGGGATATGCAAGGGCGCCTGATGGGTGAGGCAGTGCGGTCGTTGGCCACAGTTCATTGGTGCATGCTGCACAAGAACAACAAACGGTCAGGCACAGGAACACCATCCAAAGCTCCATCTGCAGGATGATGCTTGACACAGTTGCAAAACTTAGGGTGAGCCGAATCATCTGCTTCTTGCACACAGCAAATGCTCAATGTTGCTGAGACATCCAAGCTGCGCTGACATTGTTCTGATACTGATCCAGTGAAGCACTGTTTTCAATGATAGCAGGCACAATGACGAGAGATGGATGCAAACGCAAAATTTGATCTTACCTGTGATGCTGCAGGGTTTGATGGTGCTCTCGATGCAGTCCATCCCTCTGGGTCTGGCAGCTGTGGGAGCGGGTTCCCCCCATAGGGCATCTTATGCGGAGATGTAGGAGCCGCAGCAGAATCCTGCTGAAGCACGCTCTGTGCTTGTGACTCTCCTGCAGTCTGAGCAGTTCCATAGAGCCCCGATGCAGCACTCTGCACTTGCGGCTGCCCACCAGTTTGAGGTTTTGCACTCTCCCATCCAACATTCTGGGCTTGCGCCTGTCCCAGAATGTGAGGATTTGCAAAGAGAGCCGATCCATCACTCTGTGCTTGCGACTGTCCTGGAGTTTGGGCAGTTGCAAAGAGTCCCGAACCAGTGTTCTGCGCTTGTTGCTGCTGACCACTTTCAGAAGCTGTAAAGATTCCCGATCCATCATTCTGTGCTTGCGACTGTCCTGGAGCCTGAACAATTGCACAGAGACCCAAACCAGCACTTGGAACCTGTGACTGTCCCTTTCCTGGAGCTTCAGCAGTTGGGTAGAGGCCAGATCCAGTCCGAGTCCTGGGAGACCAAAAGCTGGAGGTCTTGGGGAACCTCTGTGGCGGTGGTTGTGGCATTGCAGGTGCAGATGGCATTGGCGTTAACCCCAGACTGAGGCCTGGCTGCCCCACTGGATGTGGCTCCTGTGGCGAAGTTCTGAAGATTGAAGGCATCGATGCTGCTGGTGGCATGCGCACGCTGTCTCCAGCATTGGAAGCAGCGAAATTCGAATCTCTCAGTGTGGTTGGAGCTCCCAACCAGGTTGTCCCATTGCAACCGGTTGGCCCTGGGGCAATTGAGCTCTGTGATGTTAGATTCGATGCCCCCAAGCCGAATGCTGGGGTGCTGCCGGCTGACATGCCAGACGGTACCGAATGGCACCCAAGAAGTGGGGCAGATGGAAATGTTCTGCTGCTGCCCCCGAACCAGTTGTCTCTTGGCACCGTGTCTGGATTGCCAAACAAGCTCGACCTCTGTGGTGTACCTGCAGAGGAGGTTTGTGTTGTCTGCACTGGTTGCAGTGGCTTCCAACCGAAACCACAACCTGTGGAAGCTGTCGATGCCTGTGTCGATGCCGAGCCCCACAAAGACCGTGCCTGGGAAGATGCAGTGCCAAATGGGCTGGAAAAGAGACCTCCAGTGGTCGACATCCCTGCATTTGGACCAAAGGCAGAATCGTTGTGGCCTGCGCCGTGTAGGGGAGTGGCTGCTGTCCCAAAGCTGGCCAGCCTACCAAAGAGGGATGGCTGGGATGAAAAACTCCGCATGCCAGTGGGCTTCTGTGCTTCTTGGGGCTGTGCCAGAGGCCCATGGCCAGTGTTCCCAAGCTGATAGTCCTCCCACCTCAGTACTTCCTGCTGGACCCCAATGAAAGGGTCATTGAAGCCAACGTGATGGCTAGTGCCGGAGGTGCATTTGCCGCTGGCATCACGCTCCAGTGTGGGCACAATTTGGGAGTGGCAGGTGCCTGCAGGGCGTGGTGCAGGTGTGAAAGAAAATCCACCTGAGGTTTGCGCCAGACCAAAGGTCACTGTGCCTGGCGTGTTCGAGGCAGAGGGCAGATTAGCCGGCTGCTTCGAAAACAAGGAGGATGACCCTGTCAGTCCACCGAACGAGAGCACCCCAGATGTGGTGTTTCCTTGCTGACAATTCCAGATCGGAGAGGCGGTGCTGGTTCCCTGCAGACGAACAAGAAAGATTGATCGGACATCAGTCTTCAAGTTGCGTTTCAACAGATCCTGGCCTCCCCAACAAAGCAGGAAAGATCAGCAAAGGGGCTCCTAGAGGGGAAAAGTGGATCAAAAATACATCAGAACTGACTACCAGGCGACGCCACACCAAGCTATCCTTACCCCAAAACCGCCAAAGAGGCCGCTGGTGGCGGTGTGAGGCGGCGATGGCGCGCTTCCACCAAATACCGGCGCCGGGAAACTCGTAGAGAAACAAGTGCCCTGCAAGAAACCACCGGCAAGAGGACAAGTCAGCAATGGTGATTGATCGCCCCCAAGCCCTGCCTGTTGGCCGTGTGGGCCCCACGCAGTCCAGGGGGACAGATTAGTGGCAAGAAATAAACAAGCCAAAGGGCGACAACACCTGCGAATGGGGCGTGGACGCTGTCGCTCGTGTAGAAAATACTGTTGTGCCCGCCGCATCAAAGCACAAGCAGGCAAACGACACTCGACGCAAGCGCTGACTACCATCGTTTCCCCGTGGCGTTGGCACTGTCGCACACTGCTCCAAGCAAGGCGATCTGCGCCACACCGGCACTGAACCGCCGGTTCAGAACCGGCACCACACCAACGGCGAAACGCTGAGACCAAGCCGTTTCTAAGACACATGCTCCAGTTTGCGCGCAGGGTCCCGTGCATGCTGACCATTCATGCATGTTGACTTTGGAAAACGGCTCCACAGATTCCACGGCGCCCACCCGACAGTCTCCGAAGGCAAAGAGCGCCTCAGTGCGCCAGCGCCATGCACCGCACCCCCGGCCATCCGCAGCTCAGCAGGCCGATGTCTCCAACATCGTTGCCAGTGGATCCCAGGCCCAGCGATTTCGAGGCAGCAGAAAGCGAATGCCGTGCCTGCAAACTGTCAACACGGCAAACTCACCTCAGAGGTCTGGGGACCAAAATTTGGCGCGCCGCCGGCAGTGGCGAACGCGCAGGTTTGCGGGGCTTCGCCCGCTGCACCGACACCTTTCGAAAACCCGCCGAACGCGCGTCCAAAACTCGTCGAAATCGGGGCCGTCTGTGTGGGGATATCGAAAAGCTGTCAGCAGGCGAGTTTGAGCTGGAGAAGGGATGAAGAGCGAGTTTTCGAGCAGGCCGCGCCACGTTAGGCGCGGTGCCGGCTCCGCACCTGTTGGCCGCAGGCAGTGCCAAAGCCTGCGTGGCGAGTCCCGCGACCTGCAGAGTTTAGGGCGCAAGCGTGCTTCAGCGTGTCTGGTGCGCGGACGTCGGAGGGGCGATGGCAGTGAGCGGCCGCACACAGCCCGCGGGCTGGGCGGCTGGAGGACGGATGTGGGTGGAGGGTAGGATTGGGTACCTGCTCCGAAGCTCATGGCGCGAGCGGGGTTGCGTGTGCGTGCCCGGTTGTTGGCGCCGAAGGCTGGACGCCCGCAGGGATGCCCGTGCGGCGGTGGTGAGTGGTGGGTGGTGGTTTGTGGGAGTGCGTATTGCTCGTTCTCGCAACACGCCCAAGGCAAGTCGCCAGGCTCCAGGTCGTTCAAGTCGTCCGCTGTGGGGTGCGTTTGGCGCGTGTCCAGTATTTATGCCTGCTGGCCTGCAAGTCGGCGGGATGTCGGGGTCGAGCACACAGGAAACTGGGGGGAGGCTTGCCAGCAAGTGACCAAGATCCAGCGTCTGACCCACCCGGATCAGGCCATCGCCATGGGTTCACCGATCCCGCTGCAGCATCGCGCGAGCGCCCCGCTGCCTGTCAAGGGTGGGCTGTGGTAGGTTTCATCAATTTCCCGGTAGCTGCGTCCGCCGTGTCCTGGCCTAATTGGGCACCTACGTAGGTGCGGGGAACCTATGTATTGGAATGTGCCCCTGCGTGGAATTCTTGCGTTCCGACGAATTGCGCTACATGCAGATGACGTTAAGTAATGTGGATAGAGCAACGCATTGCAGGTTGTGTGTTGTGGCCAGGAGATCTTGGCTTTTCAGCGTCGCTGTGCAGCGATGCTGCACAGCACAGTTTCTAAACACAGCCGTTGTTGTGATAATGACGAGTGCACCTTGGGAGGTGGCGAATCAGTGCTGCCTACTGGAGACTTTCCATGCCATTCAAACTAAAAAGTGGTATGGTGCTTTTGAAGAGGCTGAGCAACAGAAATCAGGTCATGAAGAGTTCGTAGTTGCAAAAATCACCATGTAATAGAGCCTTGGTTAGCTCCACGGTCACGTGCCCAATTATTGGACATATATGGCGCTCTTGTACATTCGATTCTGCCCCCTCCCACAGCCCCCGCGCCCTCCCCGTGCACCCCCCTTCCCCCATCTTCCTCCCCCGGACATCGGCTTGCGCACGGGATGGGCTGGAGCTGCGGACAACATGGCACGGGCAGACTGCATAGCGCGGCAGCGCTGGACTGAGCGCTCCCCGGCAAGGTGCGCTTTTGGCCATTCAGATCTGCGCGTGGCTTGCTGGCGATTTCTGTACACAAAGGGAACTGGCAACGCTGACTCTCTCGCTGAATCGTGGGGGACCTTCTCAAAATTCTCCCCTAGTTGGTCTGCGATTGATGCCTTTTGCTTGCCCAATTTGGCGGCTAGGGGTGACCAACCGCTGTAGCTCTGCGGCTCCCATTGTTGCTGCACACTTTCTATCCCTTCCTCCCATTTGTATTCATGCACTCGCCCTGATTCCAGACGCGACTTCACCGCAGTCCGTCCATTTGCTCTTCTTGTAGGCAGCCTTGCGGTCTGTTGCTTGTTTTCGCTTGCATTGGCGGCTCTCAAGTAGGCGCATGGTGCTTCGTGAAAGTGTAGATCCCCAGATCTTCGAATCTACGTTGTTGCCATCGTCATGCGTTTCCATTGGGAAACCACGCCAGTTTTCATACAAGCAATGAGAGGGCGCCACAATGCCGGCACAGGTGTCTATTGGCCAACCGCAATGGCTCTGCAGCCACTGCGCCCATCCAGCGCCCAGGGGCGGGACATGCCTGACATGCGCGGGAGGCTATTGAGAAGAGGGAACTTCGAATTTAAACATGAAATTTGGATCATGTCATTCAAACGGGATGTGCAGGATGCAATCAATATTTCAAGTCAATCGGAGCGAAACTCGCTCTAGGACGCAATTTTGAAACGGTGGTGTCCATGTGTATGTGTGATTTTCCTTGGACACCCTGTCCCGTTGCGCGGGAGGCTATTGCGGAGCGGGAACTTTGGATTTGAACACCAAATTTGCGCCAAATTTGGGCCACATCATCTAAGTGGGATCTGCAAGGCACGGTCAATTTTTAAGTTAATCAGAGTAAAACTCGCTCCAAGACGCCAA